CAGTGGAATATCTCCCACGGGAGTGTGCTTGGGTGGATTTTCAATTTCAAGATGAAGATGACAAGGTGAAATTCTTGATGTAGTGCTCTTTCGATGTCATGGGAAGATAATTGATGCTTAAAAACCTTCTCGGAAGCCTGAATTTTGAAGATGAAGAGTTTCTTAAGGACCCCGTTTAGCTAACATGCATTGCCAAGAGTGCCTATGGATTGCACCCCCATTTGGCTAAAATTGCCAAGATTTCCCATGACTGCTGGAACCAGGAATCTATTAGCATGATAACCTCTAGAGTTGGTGTTCCTATCCACACGAGCATGGTTACAAATGAGAATTCTATAATTGTTTGCAAGAATGCTAGTTGAAAAGGTAAAACTTCTAACTCGGACTACTTGTTTCTCACTTGTTTTGCTACTCAATTGTGTGGTAATGCAAGGTGTGACCGCACGAAAGGATGCTCAGTCGGGTCATGAGGTTGATGGGGAATGAGAAAAAAATGGTTGCTACATGGAATCCACACCAACAACTTAGGTGGTTTGATTGGTTGTATTCTATAGTATGAGAGTTTATTGTTAGTATAAGAACCTATTTGACGCTTTTTCCCGTGAGAGATTTAGAAATACAAAAGGTTGAGTGGAACTTCTGAAAATGCCTATAATTAATAATTAATTAATTGTTATCATTGACTCTGCATATCTCCTTAGAACACATAATTACAGGAAAGGTTGAAAAAGATAAATCATCCATCCTTTTACTTCAATTCTTTTACCTATCATCCTTGATTAAAATTATAATAATAAAAATACAAAAACATATGATGCATGGATTAAAAACATATGAATAAAAAAGTATACAATTACAACATATTGCAGATTACCAAATTACTCATCTCAATCATGAATTACATTGAACCATTACAGATTCTAGGCCACAACATATTGCAGATTATCAAATTACTCATCTCAATCATGAATCATACATTGAACCATTTCAGATTATAGGTCACAACATAAGCAAAACCAGTTAAGTTTAAAATCATTCACATCTACGAGACGGCCTAAAAGAAAAAATTGTCACCAAATTACACAACACATCTACCTAAAACGGATGAAAGATATTGATACTTCTAAATGCTTGGGAGGTCATATACGATATACTAGGCATCAATTCAATGAATTGGATGTTGTTGTCGGTAGCTTCTGAAAAATAAAAATAAAATCATTTGGGGTTGTTTAAAGACAAATATTTTCCAAATTTTTCAGAAAACTAGAAAAAGAAAATAGGAAAACGTGTTTACCGAAAATATTTGTTAGAAAACTGGATAAAGAAAAACAGGAAAATGCGTTTACCAAATCATTTTTCAAAACCAAAAAAATGAGATATGTCTCTATTTTCCTTAATAAATTGGAGAAATGAATTTTCCTAATTTTCCAAATTTGAAGTGTGCAGATGTTGCAGTGCTACTACAATCAATTTGTCTACTTACGTCTAGTGATGAACCCGGTCTCGGTACAGTCCCCATTTTTTAAATCATTTTTTCAAAGTGGAGAGTTTCAAAATTCCATTAGGTTACCAATTAATAGGGAAAAAGGAAAACAGTTAGTCAAGCTAGCCGTTGAGACCGACCGATATCGATCGACTTCGATCACAATTTTCTTATACTCAAGACCGTGTACCTTATTTGGGTTGTACGAAGTTCAAATCCGAACCCAGACCGTATTTTCGCTCTTTCGATCGGTCCCCAGAACCGAGTGAAAAAATTTGATGAACATATTTTCAAATTTGAAAATGAAAAATGAAAAAAGAAAATTGGAAGACAAAAAACTAGAAAATCAAAACAGAAAATTGATGAACGAAAAATAGAAAAGAAAAATTTACAATTATATCTCTATTAGTAAACGTGACCATAATGTTTGGATCTCAAATAAATGCTTGGAAAGGAAACGGAATGTTGAACGATGCTCTATTTGTCTCGGTCCCATTGGAGATTGACAACTTTGACTTACATGTGAGAAAGTAAAATGATTTAATTAGAATTTGAAGACATAATATATAAATAAATAAGTAGAACCACACATTAATTACTTTAAAGGGGGAAATTAACAAATTTTTTAGTACAATAAAAAAAGTTGATAATGTTTAGTGCGACAAAAGGAGTATTATTTTCTTATTTTTGAACTTGCTTGTTAAAATGTAGTCATATATGATTAATGTTTTAAACTTTTTTAACTATGTTGAAATTACTATGTATTTATACAATAGAATACAATAACAACATCCAAGTGTTAGTCTCAAAAAATTTGGGATCAACTAACGTGAATGATAAATTGATAAATCGATACATGATGAATCAATACATTGTATTCTTGTATGAACTTCTTTGTAAATGTTAGCTTTTAGTGACCGAAAATATCTTAATAGAAAAAAATTGTAACTTTTAATAAAAAAAATTGACCGTTTGATTTAGTTCAGTTTGGTATAACAAACTGTTGTGACTAATTAATGCTATAAGCTACTGACTTTCTCGGTAGCTATCCACTGTAACTAGGGATGGACCGGGACCGAGACCGGGTCAGGCTATGGGCGGGACCGGGTTCAGGAACTGGAGGTCCGATACGGGCCTGGCTAGGTTCCAGGACCGGACCGGGCCAGGGCGGGCCGAGTTATATATATATATATATATATATATATATATATATATATATATATATATATATATTTGTTTTTCTTATTTATTCGTACCACCCCCCACCCCCCAAACCACCCAACCCCACCTGCCTAACACCCAAATGACTCAATCCAGTCGGGAAAAAAAAATGGCCCGGACCGGTCCGGCCGATCCATCAAAATGGCAGCCCGTAGCCCGCCCCAAAACCACCCCCGGTTCGGGCCCAAGGCCCGGTTCCGGCCTACCGGTTCAGGCCAGTTCAGAACAGTAGCGGGCTGGACCGGTCAATGGGTCAGTCAACCCGGGCCCGGTCCATCCCTAACCGTAGCATATCAAAAAAGTCTTATTAACCCGTGTCTTGTTCACCCCGACAGTTTCTTTCCTCTCAAATTCTTTCCCCTTTTATTTCTCTAGTATTTCACGTGTTCCAAAAGCACTGCAAGGAATGGCTAATTATGGTTGTCCACATACCAACAACAACAACATCCCAGCCTTAGTCCCAAAAGATATTGGGGTCGACTAACATGAATCGATACATGATATCACAACCAAAAGGAAAAAAAGGAATAAAGATAAAAAGATAAGCTATTATGAAAAGATAATATAAAAAAAGATGAATATATATATAAATGATAAAATAAAAAGGCTGCAAATAATGCTTATATATATAAGGATAAAAAAAACTAGGAAAAAAAAGGATGAGGGAAAAAGATTATCAAGATCACTCCTTCACGTGAATACCCGCCCTCCACTTAGTTCTCTCCAAAGTCATGCCCTCATCCAACCCCAGAAGAAGCATATCACTTCGAACTCCCCTAACACACGTCTGTTGGGGCCTTCCTCTCCCTCTCTTCCCTGTATGGTTGTCCACATACCAATACGCATAAATTCAGAAGAGTAAAAGAAAATATTCCGTTTCCGACAAAAGAGTATGAGTTCATTTTCTCTTCGGTCCCAGGTTTTCATTTTTCCACCTCTGGTGCATGGCCAGAGATTTCTTACAACTTATGAGTATGAGTTCAAGATCACTCCTTCACGTGAATACCCGCCCTCCACTTAGTTCTCTCCAAAGTCATGCCCTCATCCAACCCCAGAAGAAGCATATCACTTCGAACTCCCCTAACACACGTCTGTTTGGGCCTTCCTCTCCCTCTCTTCCCTGTACGGTTGTCCACATACCAATACGCATAAATTCAGAAGAGTAAAAGAAAATATTCCGTTTCCGACAAAAGAGTATGAGTTCATTTTCTCTTCGGTCCCAGGTTTTCATTTTTCCACCTCTGGTGCATGACCAGAGATTTCTTACAACTTATGGTCCTCCGGGGTGATGAAAAAGTGACCAGAAATTGTGCAGACAACTGAGACAAGCGATAGGAAAGACAGCAATTGTATGGTTTTTATAGTCATCCACCAAATGAATCTTTTCATAAATCACGGGAAGCTAACAGGAGTAGCAATCTAGTAGGGAGTAGTTGCCAAAACAAAAATAATGAAAAATAATTATCTATCTGCTCATGAAGTAATATTACTACCTAATGAGTAGAGAGAAGAGTGCCTGAGGTACAAAAATGGGCTGCTTCTAAGTTCCAACTTATCAACTAGAATACCCGAGGTTTCATTCAAAGATGGTTTGTTATTGCAGTACCTATGTTGAAATGTTGAAAATTTGTGGTGGTATAGTCCAGATTGAGTGGTCCTTTATAGAAACCGTGAGGTAGTTTCCAACTTGGGAAATGGTCAAGAAGGTAATGCCTAAACTACACCAGATAAAAGATGCAAAATTACTACAGATGAGTAACTAACAGTATTACACTATTATGTGACAAAATTAACTTTTCATTAGACGGAGGCTATATGGATTTGATAGTTGACGCTTCATCTGTCCTGAAATAAACATCATTCTTCCATTTCCGTCCATCCCAATACTATGTTCTTTTTCCTCTAAATTGAGAGCTGTAACTGTCTAACTGATATGCCTGAACTTACTGAAGTGCTGAAAGAATATATGTACAACATGTTCTCTATAAATATAAGAAAAATACACATCAACTGAAGTCAGAAGTGTCATTTTATTCACTTTAAGCGATGATGTTTTCTATGGTGAAATGTGGCAGGGCAAGGGTACCAATGTCTGGTATGAATATTAGATCTCCCCAGCTACAAGAGCTATTGATTCCCACCAAAACCATTTGCACAAAACAAGTTCAAAAAGAAGAATGTGTCACTAATAAAGAAGCTCCTTACATGCACAATCTGAAAACTCACATATGCAAGTGTATCATAATAAGTTTAGTATTGCGAGCAAAGCTAGAAAAATTTAGACTGGAAGACCGAAGCGACTTAAGTTAACAAATTTTATAGATACGGAGTAGTAATCATCGGAGTAATTTGATATTCAAACAGAATCATTCCATCATTTAAACATGACAATAATACAAACAACAGCAGATAAAAGATGTGCATGAAAAAACAAAGCTCAATATAAAGTTCATACCTTTTCTCAGATATTCCCCATTAAATTTCACCACTCTAGTTCAGCTACTATAAAGTATAATCTACATCTATTCTTGAGAGAATCACTCATCTTCATCACTCTCATCGCTAAAATATCCTCTTTTCTTCTCTCTTTTCACTTTCTTCCTCATTTCCTCAGTGTCTCCTCCACTTAGTAACCTCTCTCCTGCATCTCCATCAACAGCGGAAGCCCAATTCTCCTCTTCAAAATCCTCTCCTCTACCTTCTTCATCTTCCTCATCATCTCCCCAACCCAGTCCACCTATTCTATCCTTACCATCAACCCCGCCTCTCCTCCGCCCTTTCTTTGACGGCTCCGGCCTTTCCCTCCGGCCAAGCTGATTCTTTGGGCACTCGTAAGACAAGTGCCCTTCCTCACCGCATTCATAGCACCGACTCTTATCCGGGTACACCTTCCTGCGGATAAACTCTGCCGCCCGGCCGTTATCAGATGCAATCGAAGCGGATAAAGTCCGGCCGTTGAGGAGTTTTTTGTCAATTCCTTTGACAGCTTTGACCGCATCCTCGCGGGAGACGAAGAGGACGAAAGCCACGCCACGACTTTTCCGGGTATCACGGTCCTTGAGAACGGTTACCTTAGCGACCTTGCCGAAGGTAGAGAATATAGTATGAATGTCGGAATTGGTGAGGGAGAAATCTAGGTTGCTGACGTATACTGTGGACTTAGAAGGGGCTAAACGGCCGCTGCCGCCGCGAGGAGTGCTCGAAGCGGTGGTTACGGTTTTGGAAGAGGACGGTGGGGGTGGTAAGGACGCTGCGGCATAACGGTAGTAAAAGATGTCGTCTTCATCGTCCTCGTCGCTGTGGTTTCTCTTCCGCGACATTACTGACGTGTATTTCCAGAGTGTGGATCGGGCTGATCTCACAGAGGCAAGTGAGACCCGAATGAAACGCTTTAAAACTAACATAGGCCATTTTATAAGTATCATGTCTGGTCTGGTCGGTCTGAACTGGTCTGGTCTGATATGGTCTGGTCTGATCTGGGACGAATTACAATCCAAGTAAAAACATCCTAAAAGAGTTTCAAAATTCCAAAATAGGATTGTCATGTTTTTTATTCCCAAAATAAGACTTATTACTGTCATGTTTAGAAAATATTTTCATGTTTGAAGTCTGGAACTACCAAAACATGGCAGTAATTAGTTCTATTTTGGGAATAAAAAACATGACAGTCCTAATTTGGAATTTTCAAACGTTCTTTTTTAGTTGTACCAAAGTAGATATCTTATTTCGCTTTTTGAAAACAAACACACAGTTTACATTATTTTAAAGAATCTCAGGGCTCAATTGCAATTTTTATTTTTTCAATCACTTTATTAATAATTGTGTCAAAAAAAAATAGGATCTATAAAATGGGAGGAAGGTAATGACATATTTCCCGTATTTTGGGAGGAAGGTAATGACATATTTCCCGTATTTTTAAGAAAATTAGTTAATAAATTTACCGAAAACTAAATCCTGTATATGGAATTATAGAGTAATCAGACTTTTTGTCTGTTTCGATTCTATGACTATTGTACTAAAGATACTTTTAGTCATTCATCTCAAAAAATTTCGCATTTAGTCTTATGAGTATTATCAAATTGATACTTTTAGTTCTACAAAGAACTAAAACATGAATATTTTGGGTATCAAATTTTTTTATCCTAGTGATAAGATGTGTATACAAAGAATTACTTTTAACATAATGAATTCCTCAATACACATGAAATTGTTGTGAAATTTAAATTTATGGTACATAGAATTAGTTTTGGGGGGTGTTTGGATCTGATTCCTAAAACTGCTTCTGCTCCTTCAGAGACCAGAAGCAGAAGTTGAAGTGTTTGGGTGAAAATGCACAAGTGAACCTGGTGTTTTAATTTACTCCTAGAATCAGTTTTTTTAGAAGCTGGGAGTGACAAGATTTTGAAAACTGATTCTTATTCTGCTTCTGCTTTTAAAAAAAACAGAAGTAGAATCAGTTCCAAACACCCCCTTAGTCCTCCGACTATTATGTTAGTGGCTTTTTTGGGGTGACTTTAAATTTTTTCATTTTTAGTCTTGTCTATTGTACTAAAAACGCTTTTGATACCGTTTTTGAATTTTTCATATTTAGTCATTCGATTTTTATAAAATTTACTTTTGATCATTCAAATATTATTGTGTCAAAATCATAATAGAACTAAAAGTATCAATTTGATAATACTCATAAGATTAAATGCGAAAATTTTTTAGATGAATGACTAAAAATGTCTCTAGTACAATAGTTATAGAACCGAAACAGACAAAAAGTCTGATTACTCTATAATTCCATATAGAGTAAATTTATATGGGAAATATGTCATTACCTTCCTCCCAAAATACGGGAAATATGTCATTACCTTCCTCCCATTTTATAGATCCTATTTTTCTTTGACAAAACTATTAATAAAGTTATTGAAAAAATAAAAATTGCAATTGAGCCCTGAGATTCTTTAAAATAATGTAAACTGTGTGTTTGTTTTCAAAAAGCGAAATAAGATACCTACTTTGGTACAACTAAAAAAGAACGTGTACATCCATATACCACCTTCAACATATTTCATGAAATTTAGACATAGCATGTAAATGCAATTTTGATATGCATGTAAAGGACCTGAATAAACAAATGAATATACCAGACAAACTCACCACTTGGCAATGAAAGGGAAGAACCTATTAAAAATTGATGAAATTTTCGATTTTTGATTGATAATATTATTTAAATAGCACCACTTGCCTTGGGTTTGTATTCACTTCTTAGTTAAATATTGTACACTCCCCTAAAACATGCATCTACTTTACCATCATTCACTGGATATAGAAGTGTTAAATGCAAATGCTATGAACATCCCATGAGTGAAGTAAATAACAAGTTATACAAAATTTTTACGGAAAGACAAAACTGCAAAAAAATGGCTGATTCTTGGCAACAAAACAACCAAATCGGGATACTCATAGTAAAATTAAGACAACATAAAAAAAAAACGCAATATGTACACATGTTACCAAGTTCCAAGCATTATTTGGAGGGAATCAAAGTGTCTATAGTCACCATGTCACATGCCTTGATTACCTGGCCTTTACTGTACACTAGTTTTTTTCCTTTTTACCAAACACACTATACCGTAATAAAGTTATAAACAGTGGCTCAAGAGGGGAGCGAGCTAGGCCCGAGTGATCACAGCAGAGGCCATGGAGGTGATCCCGCACATGCCATGGCCTCTGCACATCCGGAAATACCCTTCCTCTCCCCAATTCTTTCCCCACGAGTTCTTGATGATCCAATACGGCCTGTAGCCTAACCTGAGGATGGAAAATCCTTTTGAACCATAACCAACAAGTAGAACCCCATGGTTGAGCAGCCTCTTGCTACATATGAGTGGGCATGAAACACCTCCCATGTATGTCTGCATGTATCTTGCATTTATCCCCACTGCATTCATATATCATCATGTTTCTATAAACTAAAGTAATTAGCCTCAAAATAATAATTATAAAGCTAAGCCGGTTTAACACCTCAAACTAATTCATCTCCTTTAATAGAGCACTTTTGCCTCTCAACTAAGAGTCAAATCTGTTGTAACTTATAACAACAGATTCAACCAATCAGCAATCCTCACACTCATATAAAAGACAAGGTGTGCACAAATTAAAGGGCACAAAGCATAATTAGAATATTACCAGCAAGAGGGCCATGATTAACCAAATAAGCAGCCATTTGGCCCTCATCAGCAGGAACTGTGGTGAAATTCCCAACCTTGACCGCCACTTTCTCTGATTGAAATTTGCATTCGCCGCCTTTTCCAGTGTAAGGATAAGAGGCATCTTCCTCTATACCTCCAGACTCTATCAGATACTTGTAAGCATTTGTCATAAGACCTCCTGAACATCCATCATCACAGGAACTCCTGTCGTGTATATCACACTGCACAGGCCATGGAAATAATCAAAGGTAAGTTAAATTGAAGTAACTTTTGTTTACAGAGTTTGCCGCATTCAGGAAAATAATACAAAAAAGGTAACTTTTGTTCTGTATATTATAAATTTACTCATTTTTTATCTACAATTTTAATTAATATGTAAATTTTGCCACTCCAATGTCAGGAAAATATCTCCATTCGATAAAACGATTACAGTTTCATCTCTCATGGCCTCATTGTTATTATATACTTCATTTGGACAGAAATTTACAAGTCTAGTCTAGTTCTGGTATGATTTGTTCTCTTTAAGTCTAATTTGGTCTCTTCTCTTTAAGTCCAACTTAATCTCTACCGTCTACACAAATTTTGTATATCTACTTTGGCTTGAAATTTACACTAACTTTGTAAATCTACTTTGGTTGAACTCGTTGACCTCTTTATGTCTAGTATGTTCCAAACCAAGTATGGTCTGATTTTTTTGAATTAGTCTATCTGCTTTAATAAACTGTCTGTGCTTCTTTGTTATGAAGCAGTAGTCCGTCCATGCAATTTTGGACGCGCTTTTCACTATGGGTCATCCAGAAACAGTTTATGTGCTTTAGTACAGAGGTAAGACTACGTACATCCGACCCCCTTACCCCACCGTAGGTGGGAGCCTTTGCGGCACTGGGGTAAATGAAAATGAAATGAAAATGAGTCTATTTGCTTTAAATCTAGTCTTATCCAGTCTGTTTAAGTGTGATCCGATTTTAACAAGTCTGGTAAGGTATGGTGTTAATTTGTCTAATATGATGTAGTATGTTTGAGCCTATTCTAGTCGGGATTGAAATAAGTTCACATGAGCATGTCCCAATAGTGTTTGATGAGATTTATATATATAAACGCGGTGTGTACCATGTGATCACAATCCACAAGTTGTTGCTCACTGAGATTAAGTAGCTTCCCTGTTGCAATGAAGTTGGCTCCTTCAATGGCTCCTGTGGTGCTAAAGGCCCAACATGACCCACAAGAGCCCTGCATCATTTATACATCAACGGATCAATGCACGAATATGGTACATTTTGACATCAACGAAGGGAAATTTATGCATGCTTCTCTACCCAAATCCATTTTACTTCTCTGGAAATTAGACAGTGCAAATAATGTTTGCAACATCTGCTGATTGACCATTTAGGATCTTTCTTCTCCCTTTATGTGCAACTAAGCAATCAGATACTAGTAACTTAGCACTACTTGAATTCTATCCTTGAACAGATACAAGCTCCACTAATCTATTATCAAATAAAAAAAATGTTAGGGACTAAGGGACCACCAAATATCAAGAATTTATTAAAATCTCATTCTAATTAAAATAAAGCTCAGTCACAGAATTTATTCTCACCTGCATCTTAACTTCAGTTACAGCCCCTTTATCCCTCCAGTCAAAATTTACCGGCAAGCCCTTAACGTCCAGGGGCGGCGCTTCCGTGCTGTCTCCGAGTAAGGAAGTCCGTCCACCGCCGCTGAATCCCATGTACATCCTTTCAAACTCGTCCTCGGTGAGATCTGAAAACGGAGTGACGCCGTGGACGGCTGTGGGGTCCATGATTTGGTGTTCCGCTGCCCTGATCAGGTTTTTCGCGAACACTCCCAGACGGTCCACGTATTCCCCGTGTGTGGCGTACTCTTTCTCGTACTCCTGCAAGAAAGATTTGAATCGCACCTCAGTCGCAGAGCCGAGGAGGTTAGAGGCGGCGCCACCGATTTCGTTGTCGGTGACTTGTCGGATATTGAAGTCCACGGAAGGTGAAGAGAGCTCGAAGAGTGCGCACGTTATCGCACTGAGGATTAGCGCGGCGCGCGTTAAACTCCCACCGGCCATTCTGGTAGTTTATTAGGTGTCCCCGCCGCTTCGGCTTTCGAATACTTCTTTGTTTTGAAGATAACTCCGGCGGGGGTAATTTGGAAATTTAAATTTATCATGGT